GGGACGGGGCCGCCGGGAGGCGGGCACAGCCTCGGGCCTCTGCGTCTACGCGTCGCGCGGGACGGAGCGCGCCACGGCCCTCCTTCCCGGGACCCGCGGGCCAGTCCCAAGATAAAGCCCAGCCTAGCTCGTGTGCTCGGCCTCCGGGATCACGGAAGCTAGCCTTCCCTTTCTTACCAGCCCTGGGGTTTAGAGAAGGCAAATAAGACAGCCTTTTGACACTAAGAGGATGCCTGTTGTTTACTTATGTATTTATCTACCGAGACGGGGTCTGGCTCTGTCGTCCAGGAGGAAATCGAGTCGCGTCGTCAGTTTACCGCGGTTTCCAACTCTCGGGCTCAGACGATCCTCCCGCCTCAAACTCACAAGTAGCTGGGACTACGTGGGCCGCCATCACACCCTAATTGTTTTTATTTCTTGTAGAGAGGGGGGTCCCGCTATGTAACCTAGGCTGGTCCCACGCAGTCCTCCCACCTTGGCCTCCTGAAGTGCTGGGATTACAGGTGTGAGCCACCGCGCCCGCCCCTGCCTTTTCAAATATAAGAGTAACAAACTGGGCTGGTGCGAGAGGAAGAGGAGCCCCCAGGAGTGGCGAGTGGGGGGTGGGGGGGAGGGGTTGTCAAGATAAACAAAGGCACAATCAAAAGGAAATCCTAGTCTCTTTATTATGTGGGGAGGTAGGAGGGCTAGTGAAACCCAGTCCAGGCCACTGTCTCCTGGTCCCACCACACAGAGTAACGTCTCAAGCCTCTATTCCTTCTCAATCCCCACAAAATAGGGGGATTGTTCAGCACTGTCTTCAGCGATGAAAACTCTGTGGTTAAAGGTTTCTCCTTGGTACCAGTGACAAAGTTAGGCTTATACTTTTAATGAAAGCCAGACACCAAGCCAGAAGGATTTAAGAAAGCAAGGGTCCTCGAGGGAAAATTTTTTGTGTTCTATACCCCAGCATCTCACCTTAGGGTTTAATCTAGGTCTAACTAGGCTGTGCAGGTCCACTAACAATAGTGAACCACACAATGGTGGGGATGTCTGGGTGGCTGATAACAGTTAGTACACTGACATTGGCTTGGAGGGAAAACATTTCCTCCTCCATCATATGCAATCTCTCCCTTCCTCCATGAAATAGTTGGCCACAGCAGGGCAGGCCTACCTGTAGGGTGCCCAGCAACTGCCTAGATGCCTCTTTAAGATCAGAAGCAGCACCCTGCCCCACCCAGGCACAGCCAAACAGGGAAAACATAAATAAAAGGCCACAGCTTCAGACTTGTGGTTACTGTAGAGGCAGGGCCTCAAAGGAGCCTGGAATTGACAGGAGAGGAAGCACTGACAAAAGATGGGGGTTCTATTTGTCCTTCTTGCTTTCCCCATCTGGCACTGTGGTGGGGGTTGGGACAACAGGCTGTTCCTCTGGGATACTGTCTCCAGCCTTTGATATTTTCTTGGCCCGTTGGTATAGCTCATTCAAGTTGAATTCGCGGATCACGTTCTCCTGCACGAAAGACATGCAAACATAAGGATCCCCGTTGAAAAGGAGAGTTCAGAGCCTGAGACGTAAAGAGTACTTAGACATAGTCTAGGAAAGAAGGGAGGAAGCAAAGGACAGAAAACTGCCCAAAGCTTTCTCTTTTTTATGTGCCCAAAAAAGTCAATTAATACTTGAGTACTGTACCTATTATGTACCACTGTGCACAGAATAATTATACCTACATTATTCAATATAATCTGCAAAACAATCCTGTGAGCCAGGAGTTAACTGTCTCCAACTTACTGACAGGGGCCTAATGCCTACAGACTATATGTGCAGGGGCCTTCAAGAGACTAAGTCTTAACTAATCATTGATACCCAGTACTAGCATGGCTGGTACATGATATAAATTTGCTAAGTGAATTAGTAAATGAGGCCTAGTTACTAGTCCACAACCTCAACCCTGGTGGGCAAGTTGTAGAGCTGTGAATCAAACCCAGGCTGGGCTCCACAGCCCATCTGCTGTCCCACACCCTTCTCCAAACCACCTGCCTATCCTTTCAGGTACCTCAGAGAAGGTCCAAGAGACAGCTCGTCCTTTCTTGTCAATCTGTGGCCGCCGCATTACCTCCTTGCCACCTTGGAACAGGATCAGGGTAGGGAGTTGCTTGGTGAGAGGCGATGTGCTCACTTTGTACCTACAGAGCCCAGAAAGGACTCTGTAAATGGCCTGTTTACATCACTTAACATGATTCCCTGCTCAGACCCTCTGCCCAGGTCTTTACATACCGTGTACTAACATCAGTGTAGCGTCCAACATCCACCTTTCCAAAATTTAGACCTGTACAGTTGTACCTGAAAAGTATATATTATTTAACACACTGAAAGAAAAAGAATGGATCAAGAGAAGTGAAAGTATGGATATATGGGGAGGAGAGAAGGAAATGCCTTTGGTTGCCATGTATAAAAATCATGGCCAGAAACAAGAGGGAAGGCACAGCACCTCAATTTCCATCATCTCTCAATCTGTACTACTTACTTGAGAGAGAGGTCAGCGTAGATAGGAGCAAATGATTGGCAGTCATTAGACCAATTGGCAAAGAACTCCACGATCCAAGTGACCCTCTTGTCCCGCTCCAGTTCCTCCTGCCAAACACAGGGAAGAAAAGTGAGCTGAATCACACAGGCTCCTGGGAAGGCTGAGACCTTAGCATCCAATTCCTTATTCTGGCTTCTCCTCTCTCCTGGCTCTCATGATGGTCAACACGGTGTCCTTGACTTCCAATTTGTAGCACTGTTGTTCCTCCTAGTGAGTACAGAGCGCAACTACAACAACACAATTAGAGACCCCCAAGAAAGAGAAGGGAGGAAGAGCACTCACATCAATGGTTTTATCATTGAAGTACTTGATGTACTCAGGGCCCATATATAGGGGAGGCTTGCACGTCATCAGGAACACTAAACACAGAAAGAAGATGTCAGAGGAAATAAGACCTTGGGCAGGGGATTTACTTCCAAACCAACTCAAAAGATTTAGCCACCAAAGAAAACACAATTGTGGACATATATAAACCACCAACACATTCCCTTCCTCTAAAAATGAAGTCTTGGCCGGGCTCAGTGGCTCAGCCTGTAAGCCCAGCACTTTGGGAGGCCGAGGTGAATGGATTGCCCGAGCCCGCAGGTTGAAGACACGCCCAGGCAACTCTACAAAAAAATCAAAAATTAGTCGGGTGTGGTAGCGCATGCCTATAGTTCCGGCTACTTGGAAGGCTGAGGTGGAAGGATTGCCAGAGCCCAGCAGGTCGAGGCTGCAGTGGCTGGGAGTGTGCCACTGCACTCCAGTGTGGGCAACGGAATGAGACTCCAACTCAAAAAAAAAAAAAAAGTCTGTAGATTCTTACCATCAGAGCTACGCACATTATTAATTAGGTGCAAGATACAAAAGAAGGGTATGGAGAATCCTTTTTGGAATTGTAGCTCCTACAATTATGTCTTTATCAACACAGTCTTACAAAGAACCTTAAAAAAAAGACAGTCTCCTCACCTATGCAAAGTGTGATGTAAAGCAGGCCCATGCGGATATCCAGGCGGAAGAAAAGAATTGCATTGGCCACCTTACTAAACATGAAGATGTTGCCTATATGTTGTTCCACGGTGACTGAAACACAGAGATGCCACAGGTCAGGCTGGGCTGCACGCTCCTATATCCCATTCTTTGTCCCTCTTCTTGGGGCACTTTGAAATGGGAGAGGGGAGGGGATAGAAGTCCAAGATCAAATTCAGATTTGGCAAGAAATATGGGACTAGTTCACCAAATGAAGCCCCGTAAGAAAGAAACATGAAAGAAACCACCTCCAGAAGGCACTAGACTTAACTCTGAGACTGAGAAAACAGGCTAAACTTACTAGATCTGCGGTTCTTCATCATCACAATGGCACTGAGAAACATCAGGATCTCCACTTCTCTCTGAAACAGAATCAGAGTAACAGGAATGCAGTGAACAGAGCTGATATGGATGGCCAAGGGAACCAAACATGGAAAAAACCAGCAGTGATCCAAACTGGGAATGGTAATAAGACAACTGGAGTAATCTAAGGTGCACTAGGATAAACACCAGTCAGAAGATCTAGATTCAGGTTTTACCCCTGCCACAAACTTGCTGGCCTTTCAACGAAGCACTTAATACATGAGCTTTGGCCTCCTGTACAGCACCTATTTCAAAATGCCACTGTGAGGATTAAATGACATAATGGATATAAAAGAACTGTATAGCTGGGCGTGGTGGGTCACGTATCTAATCTCAGCACTTTGGGAAGCCAAAGCAGGAGGATGGCTTGAGCCAAGAGCTTGAGACCTACCTGGGCAACATAGTGAGAGACCATGTCTCTATAAAAAAAAAAAAAAAGAGTTGTATGAAGTATGATATGGTATATACATCAACTCAGTGTGAACTTGGTAAAATAAAATTTTCCAGTGAAACTTTCATAATAATCCATTATCCAATAGTCCATTAATACAGTATCAGGCTATTTCACTGTTGTTTTGCTTAAATCATTCCTCCTCATCCAAAATTCATAGTGATAATTCACACATATAAAGGATCCCCAAGAAAACCCAGAATAATCTTTCGGAGGGAGGACCCCTAATAATACACTTGGAATTTGTTTCTCCAGATCAAATGGTCAACCAAAGTTTTTGTTTGTTTGTTTTTTGAGTCAGAGTCTCACTCTGTCGCCCAGGCTGGAGGGTAGTGGCACGCTCATGGCCACCGCAGTCTTGACCTGCTGGGCTCAGGTGATCCTTCCGCCTCAGCCTTCCAAGTAGCTGGAACTACAGGCGCATGCCACCATGCCCTGCTAATTTTTCTTGTTTTATTGTAGAGATGAGGTCACACCAAGTAGCCCAGGCGGGTCTCAAATCTGTGGACTCTGGCAATCCTCTCACCTCGGCCTCCCAAAGTACTAGGATTATAGGCTTGAGCCATAGCGCCCAGCCTAAACCAAAGTTTTTTTTGTTTTTTTTTTTTGTTTTTTGAGTTGGAGTCTCACTCTGTCGCCCAGACTGGAGTGCAGTGGCCGCTCCCGGCCACCGCAACCTCGACCTGCTGGGCTCTGGCAATCCTTCCGCCTCAGCCTTCCAAGTAGCCGGAATTACAGGCGCGTGCTACCACGCCCAGCTGATTTTTTGATTGATTGTAGAGATGAGGTCTCGCTGCCCAGGCGGGTCTCGAACCCGCGGGCTCAGGCAATCCACTCACTTCAGCCTCCCAAAGGCGCGGGATTACAGGCTGAGCCACCGAGCCCGGCTTAAACCAAAGTTTTTATCTGGAAGTTTTTTTTGTTTGTTTGAGTTGGAGTCTCACTCTGTCACCCAGACTGGAGTGCAGTGGCCGCTCCCGGTCACTGCAGCCTCGACCTGCTGGGCTCCGGCGATCCGTCCGCCTTAGCCTTCTGAATAGCTGGAACTATAGGCGTGCGCTACCACGCCCAGCTAATTTTTGATTTATTGTAGATATGAGGTCTCGCTGCCCAGGTGGGTCTCGAACCCATGGGCTCAGGCATTCCACTCACCTCAGCCTCCCAAAGGCACGGGATTACAGGCTGAGCCACCAAGCACAGCTCTATCTGGAAGTTTTAAGGCTGCATCACGCAAAAAACTTCCCCAGTTGCGGCAAACAGGGAACTAGTTCTTCTACCATGACAAGACACCTGCCCACACCTTACTGAGTATTCAGCAGTTTTTGACCAAAAAATGGCCCAGTCCCCATGTCCCATCCTCCTTATTCACCCAGTCTTGCCTCAGGCAGCTTTGTTTCCCCTGATGAAAAAAGCTGTCAAAGGGAAACATTTTGCCAGCGTGGAAGAGGTGAGACAAAAAAATGGCAGAAGCACGAAAAGGCATCAAAACTGACGAGTTCAAAGACTGTTTCGAGCAGTGGAAAAAGTGTCTTGATAAGTGTATTGCATCAAATGGAGAGTACATTGAAGGTGACTGAAATTCAAACGTGAAAATAAATACACAATTTTTTATAAATAAGTTCTGGGTTTTTTGGGTTCCCCCTTGTACTTTTGATATGACGAAAGCTGAAAACTCTTGGTCTACAATTCTTTCTCACTGTCTAGAATCTAAGCACCAAGTGAGCAAGTGAAACAGACAATAAACATGACAGAGACATGAGTAAGATAATTTGAAAGGGTAATGACTGCCATGAATAACAAGGACTATTTGACAGAAAGCATAGGGTAAAGGAGAGACTACAGATGAAATGGTCTAAAGCCTCCCATGCTCTTCTGTTTACAATACAGAAGGCCAACTCATTTCAGACAAATCAACCAACTATGATTACAACTTCGAAAAGTATCCTTAATCTCCAAAAAAGTATAATCTGATTGGATTTAGATATCAACATGTAAAATGACAAACCTTAGTAAATATACCTAAGAGAGAAATTAGGATTTTCATAAATGAAATTGAGTGGCGTTAGAATTGGGACTTAAAATTGTGGAAAGGGCCATGCTTGGTGGCTCAGCCTGTAATCCCAGCACTCTGGGAGGCCGAGGCGAGTGGACTGCCTGAGCTCGCAGGTTTGAGACCAGCCCAAGCAATGTGGCAAGACCTTGTCTCTACAATTAGTCCAGCCGGTCGACACTGGGGTGTGTCTCATAATTACAATGAGTTGAGTGAGACTCCAACTCAAAAAAAAAAAAAAAAAAAAACTGTGGAAAGATGTATTTTAAGAGAATTGTGGGCCATGAGCATGCTACTGCACTCCAGCCTGGGGGACAGAGTGAGACTCCAATTCAAAAAAGAGAAACAGAATTGTGGTCAATCAGACCAAAAATAGGACTAAAACATTTTTTTGTGACAGAAAATGGGTCTACGGCAAAGACTGGCTGTCACTACTTCAGATTTTATTTTGCTTTTCTTCCTGGGCCTACTGCAGAGACTTTTCTAGTCTCCATACACCCAAGTGGAAGAACTATGTGATGAGTAGTCCTAAATGGAATGTGAGTTTAAGTGATTTGCCACTTCTGGGTACAGATAGTTTAAAAGGGTGTACCCTTGAACTTCTTTCTTCTTTTTTGAGTCGGAGTCTCACTGTGTCACCCAGGCTGGAGTGCAGTGGCATGTGCATGGCCACCGCAGCCTCAACCTGCTGGGTTCAGGCGATCCTTCTGCCTCAGTCTTCTAAGTAGGTGGAAACTACAGGCAAGCGCCACCATGCCCAGCTACTTTTCTGATTTATTGTAGAGATGAGGTCTTGCCATGTTGCCTAGGCTGGTCTTGAACTCGTGGGCTCAGGCAATCCTCTTGCCTCCACCTCCCAAAGTGCTGGGGTTACACACATATGAGCCACCGCGCCTGGCTGAATTTCAGCTTTCTTTCATTTGCTGGCTGGATGATACTGGGATGACCCAAGACCATGGGTTGAAGACAGAATGAGTCAGGGTTCCAGAATGACTATCTGAAATAGGTTCCTCTTGGCACTTGGTTATTGTTTGCTAGTTGTTTTAAAACTTTATTATGGAAAAGTTGAAACATACACAAAAGTAGAAAGGATACTTTAATGAACCCCCATTACTCAGCTTTAATAGTAACCAACAATTTGCCAAGGTGGTTACAATTTATTTATGCTATCTACTTTTTTCTTGGAGAAACTTAAAGCAAATTCCAACTATATCATTTTATCTGTAAATACTTCAGTATGTATGCTGGTGAAAAGATGTTGTGACAGGATGCAGCAAATGCTCAAATATATTTCTTGTATGATTGAGTAAATAAACACAGAAACATGTAGCTGGTTCCGGATCAGCAGATGGCCTCATGGCAATCACTAGCCCAGGGCAGGAAAGGAGTTGATAGCAGTTAAAGGTATTTCCTTTTGAAAAGCAAGTTGCAACTTTAAAAACCCGCCGGGGCGCCAGGCAGGTTTTGTTTGGGAAAGGTCAAATAGCCCAAAGACTAGCCATTTAATGAATATGCAAAAAAAGTGGCTAATTCACAGAGTCTTATCTAAAACCCCCCTTCTGAAGTTCAGGGTTTACAATCCTGCAGTTCCTGGAAACCATCTGTTCTTTGAAAAATCTGATTTTGCTGAGTACAACCTTGTAAGATTCCAAAGGAAATATGTACTCACTCAACACGACCCCCTCCCTTACTTAAACGAGGGTATAAGACCCCAGGTCACCTGTTCTGGGGTGCTCGAGCTTGATTTGAATGCATGAAATTCTCGGACCGCTGTGCTAATGCTAGCCAGCGTAATAAAGTGCCACTTCCTATAATAGTCTCGGTGTCACGATCTCTATTTTTCCTGCTACAATGTCAAACTCTAAAATATATATATATATATTTTTTCAATTCAAAAATATGTATTTTTGAATTGGAGTCTGTCACCCAGGCTGGAGTGCAGTGGCACACTCACGGCACCGCAGCCTCGACCTGCTGGGCTCAGGTGATTCTTCTGCCTCAGCCTTCCAAGTAGCTGGAACTACTGGCACATGCCAACATGCCCGGCTAATTTTTGAATTTATTGTAGAGAAGAGATCTCACCAAGTTGCCCAGGCTGGTCTCAAACCCGTGGGGTTGGGCAATCCTCTCACTTCGCCCTCCCAAAGTGCTGGGATTATAGGTGTGAGCCACCATGCCTGGCCTAAATATTTTAAGATAGTTTATTCTGGCCAATATGAGTGACCTAGGCCTGTGACATCCATCCCCAGGTTCAGAGAATGTGTGCCCACTGTGTTTGAATGGTAGCTTCACCATATATAATTTAGGAGGACAGAAATTACAAGAAACCATAAATCAACACACGTGAAATTTACACTCACATGGTTCAGTCCAGGGAGGTGGGACATTTCCAAAATGGGGGGAGGTGGAAGTGGCGCAGGCTATAGCTGGATTCAAAGATCTTCTGACTGACAGCTAGTCAGCAAAGTTATCTAAAGAAACTTAAAAGTAGTAAAGGA